AATGGCGGGAAGGAGGGACAAGAAGGAAGGGAGGAAGAATTGGAAAGGCAAAGGGAAGAGGAACGCCAAGGAAAGGGAGAAAATCGGAGGGAGGGAGGAGAAAGGGAAAAGAGAGGGCGAGAGAGGGGAGCAGAGAGGAAGAACAACAGGAAAAGGAGGAAGCAGGAGCGAGAGGAAAAGGAGGAAGGGAAAGGGGAAGATGAAAAGAAAAGGGGGGAATAGGAGGAGAATGAGAAAGAGGAAGGGCAGGAACAAAGGAGAAGGGAGAAAAGAGATAAAAAAGGAAGAAGAGGAAGGAAAGAATGAGGAAATATGAGGAAAAAAGTAGAAAAAAAGGAGGAAGAAAAGGGATGAGGGGACGGAGGAGGATAAAACAAAGGAAAAGAGGAAAAGTGGAAAGGAGAAAGGAGGAGAGGACGGAGGCGGAGAGGAGGAACGAAGAGGAAAATAACAGGGTAGGCAACGAAGCGGAGAGTGGTGTAGTAATTTAATCAATAAGTAAAAGCAAATGCAGTAAACAAAAGATAAACATCCGTGGAGGAAGAGGGGCGGAAAGAAAGAGAAGAGGGAAAGAATAGTGAAGAGGAAAGGAACAGGAATATGACGAGAAAATGGAACAAGAATAGGAAGACATGTAAAAATAAACAAATAAATAAATAAATAAACACATATAAATACAAAATAATAAATAAAGTTAATAAGTAAATAAACGAAAACACTAAAATCGTAGAGAATGAATAATATATACTGCGCATGATAACACGAGCATATCAAACCAATATCAACATAACGCGTATAATCACAACTTTGCATCTGCATATATGCACATAGTCCGCCCCATCCTCCGGGAAGGGGAAGGGAGGGGGAGAGGGAGGGAAAGGGAACGGAAGGGGAAGGGAGGGGAGGGGGAGAGAGAGGGGAGGGGAGGGAAGGGAAGGGAAGGGAAGGGAGGGGGAGAGGGAGGGAAAGGGAACGGAAGGGGAAGGGAGGGAAGGGGGAGAGAGAGGGAAGGGAAGGGAAGGGAAGGGAGGAGGAGGAGGAGGGGAAGAGGGAGAGAAAGGCAAGGGGAAGGGAGGGGGAGGGGGAGGATGAGAGAAAGGGAAGGGGAAGGGAGGAGGAGGGGGAGGGGGAGAGAAAGGGAAGGGGAAGGGAGGAGGAGGGGGAGGAGGAAGAAGAAGAAGAAGAGGAGGAGGGGAAGAGGGAGAGAAAGGCAAGGGGAGGAGGAGGAGGGGGAGGGGGAGAGAAAGGGAAGGGGAAGGGAGGAGGAGGGGGAGGGGGAGAGAAAGGGAAGGGGAAGGGGGAGATGAGATAAGAGAAGCGGCGGCGAGGGAATTGAAGGAGCGATATCTAATATTCATAAGATTACTTTCTTGAAACGCCGCATGAATTTTTACATGGAAAGAGGCTTTGCGTGGGGTGGGGGGTGAGAGGAGAGAGAGAAGAGGGGGAATGAGAGGGTAAGGAGAAGAAGAAGGAGGGAGAGAGGACACAGAGAGAGCGGGAGAGGATGGAGAGAAAGAAAGAAAGGAATGGGAAAATGAGAAAAGGAAGGGGAGATAGAAGAAGGAACCGCGAGGACGGAAATGGGATAGAGAGAAGAGAGGGAAGAGGAGAGAGGCGAAGGAGAAAGGATGGAGAAGAAGGAGAGAGAAGGAAATTAAATCAGAGGGACAAAGGAAGAGAGAGGATGAAGATGGAAAAAAAGGCAGGAAGGAGAGAAAGAGAGAAGAGAGAAAAGTAAAGTTACAGAAGGGAAAGAGGAAGGAGAGGAGAGAAAGGAGAGAGGTGAGAGATGGAGGCGAAGGAAGGGAAGAGGAAGAAAGGAAATCTACTGTACCTTCTTTGGGGGCAAAACAAACAAGTACACTTTCACAGGTGGACTTCGTGGACACAAGATAAATCTCTACCGGAAAATAATGGGTGATAATGGCCCTATAATGGAGATTATAATAGTGTTGAGAAAGAAGGAAGGAAGGAAGGGAGGGAGGGAAAGGGGGAGAAAAGGAGGGAGGGAAAGAGGGGGAGAAAGGGAGGGAGGGAAAGAGGGGGGGACAGGGGGAGGGAGGGAAGGAGGGGAGAAGGGAGGAGGGAAGGAGGGAGAGAGGGAAGGAGGGAGAGAGGGAGAGGAGGAAAGGAAAGAAGGAGGAAAGGGAGAGGGAAAGGGGGAGTGACAGGGAGGGAAGAAGGGAGAGAAGAAGAGAGGGAAAAAGGGAGAGAGGGAAAGGGAAAGAGAATGAGAGAGAGAGATAGGAAGGGAGGGAGAAAGGTAGAGAAGGGGGAAGGAAAGAGAGATAGAGATATAGAAAGAGAGACAGAGAAAGAGAAAGAGAAAGAGAAAGAGAAAGAGAAAAGAGAGAGAGAGAGAAACAGATAGAAACAAACGACGAAAAAAAACACATTAAAAGAGAACAGGAAAAAGGGGAAAAAAAAAAACATATAAAGAGAAAAACGAAAACTTTGGGTAAAATTACTGCCATAAAACAAGGGGGTCAGAGGAGGG